CTCGCGGCGCCTCTCGCGGTGGCCCGCCCAAAGGGGAGCAGGCCACCTGCACGGTCGCCATGTTTCTGACGTAGAACGTGGGGAAGTACTTCCGGGGCATCCCGGGCCCCGCGCTCCACTTCCGGGCACGCCTTATTCAGAGCAGAACCCGAAGCTTTAGGGTTCCGGGGCTTGGAGGAACAGATCCAGAGACTGGAGCTAAAGCGGCGCCTCTCGCGGTGGCCCGCCCAAAGGGGAGCAGGCCACCTGCACGGTCGCCATGTTTCTGACGTAGAACGTGGGGAAGTACTTCCGGGGCATCCCGGGCCCCGCGCTCCACTTCCGGGCACGCCTTATTCAGAGCAGAACCCGAAGCTTTAGGGTTCCGGGGCTTGGAGGAACAGATCCAGAGACTGGAGCTAAACACCTGCCATATTTAGCTCGGAGACTTTCCCCGGCTCACTCTTCCTGGGCCCTGACGGAAAGGGGAGACTGTGTTTGTTCTCCCAGAAAGTTTGCTCCTGAGCAGGGATGACGTTCCCGTTGAGTACCAGCGCCTCCGACTCGGCCTGGAGTTGGAGGGGGGCCATTGGGGATGGCAGTGGCAGAAACTGCTGGTTCTACTCCATTCCTCTGCGGACATCTGTCACAGCCCCTGGCCTTTTCCCAGGCACAAAACCGCCCCGAATAAGGTTACGTTCCCCCGTATTCCTTGCGGCTGGTGGGGACTCTCCTGTGGATTTTGAGACATCTCACCCCACAAGTAATTCAGGAGCTCAAACGGAACCATGTAAAATATAACCCGCCCAAGGGTGATCTGGTGAGATTGGATACCCCCAAGGTTTCCTGAAACCGTAAAGGCAAAATGCTGGAAAAGAGAAGAGCCGTTTTAAAAGCTGTGAACAGTGTTCAGTCTTGGAATTTACATTTGGGTAGACTGGGAAAACCTTTGAGTTATGCAGATATAAAGCAAATTCTCACCCATGGCTCTTGGGGGAAACCTGGAAGTCACCTGAATGTACATGTTTTGTCCTGAGAATAAAGCACTTCTGTTCAGCAATGAAAATTGGGAGTATGGCCGAAACCGGTTTGGCTCAGTGGATAGAGCGTCGGCCTGCGGACTGAGAGGTCCCGGCTTCGATTCCGGTCAAGGGCATGTACCTGGGTTGCGGGCACATCCCCAGTAAGAGGTGTGCAGGAGGCAGCTGATTGTTGTTTCTCTCTCATCGATGTTTCTAACTCTATCCCTCTTCCTTCCTCTCTGTAAAAAATCAATAAAATATATTTAAAAAAAGAAAATTGGGAGTATGTTCTTGGAAGAGCTGATTCTCTGAAGACTTTGGGCTTATTTGGGGAGAAATACTTATTTTTTGTTTGAATTTAGATTTCATTATGCTTGCTATTATTATTTTGGGATGTGCACATATGTATGTGATGTATTTATATGTATGTGTGATAGTTAAGTATTTGCTCAGAGAAGATCTGGAATTGATATGTAGTCACTGATGTTTTAGTTTGAGTTCTCAAAAAGCAGAGCCTCAGTTAAGGTTAGTATGTGAGTGAATTATTCAGGAATGAACATGGAAGAAAGAAGAATCAATACAAATATATGCTATTGAGTTGGCCATTGCAAGGGGTGAGGGATTCCCCAATGCTCGGGACTTTCTGAGAAGCCTTAAAAAAAATTTTTTTTAAAGGAAGAAGGGGGTGAAATAAGAAAGAGCAAGGCAGAGGTTTGCCACATCTGCTAGCAGGGAAGGCTAGGGAGGGAGGGGAGAGCATTCATAATGCTCTCAGAACCCCTCCCCCTCCCAGGATTGGAAGAAGTAACCACATACCTGTAAGTCTTTGACCTTTATTGCCAAATGTTGCCCCATCAAGCATGAATTCTCCAGTGCTTCTGAGTTGAGCAAGCATCAGTATGTGATGGTTCCTGCAGGAAGCTCTTATTGTATAGTCAAAGAAGCCCCGAGGCAAAAGTTAGAGGTGTGGCGTACTAGAGTACAAATGCAAGGCAAGGCGCAACAAATTATTTTATGCAAAATTGATACATGACTGAGATAAACTAATTACTGTAGCAATGATTACAATAGGAATGTAAAGGGAAAAGTATTTGAGAGCTTGTTTGGAGGTTCTAGCAGGGGAGCGCAGCTACTCGTATACCCTTGACCGAAGACCGGTCCTCTCCTCGGGGGGGAAGGTCGTCCTCTTCGACCGAGCGCGCAGCTTCGGGAGCCGCAGCTTCGGAAGGGACGCACATGGATCGGTGAGGGAGGAGGGGGACACCCGCCTAGCCAGCCAGATCAGCCGAATCAACCCTGGTGATTAATGGGGTGACAGATCTCGCAGCCAGATCGCCCTCACATCCCGGGGGAAAAGTATTTGAAGCAGTGCATAAGAGATGTCCAACATACTAGGCTAGAAGGATGGGAGGCCTGTTTATCATCACAGTGGAAGTGGCATAAAAGAGACTGTGAAAAGGATTTGGGTTTGGCATGGCTCATCTTCGGTTGCATGGGATTATAGTTAAGACCCTGATACATATGACTTTGAACAAATTACTTAATTTCTCCAGGCGTCAGTATCCTTATATATAAAATGGTAATGATAATAAGCATAGTCACAAGGCTGTTGTAAGGATAAATTGGACAGTGCTTGTGGAGAATATAATACAGTCCTTGTTGTATAGTAAGTGCTCAACAAATGTCATCCAGCCCCCACCTTCTCTTTCTCCTCCTCATCACCCCTGCCCAAATAAGTCAGGTAGTGTGGGTACTTTTTTTTACAATACTGATTTATTAAGAGGAACAGATTTTTTTTCCTTCTCCACCACATCCCTTATAATCTTCATCCACAGGCCCCCATTTTCATCTGTCTTCCTGTGCAAGGAGCTCCAAACAGCCACATGTTTGAAGATAGGAATTCTAGGGCGAGGTGATCAATTATCAGAGAAGGATGACCCTTAAGATAAGTCTTCATCTGAAAAATGGACAAAATATTATGTGTTAGATCTGCTGTTTTGGGGACTCAAATATACTTATACAGTTGAGAGCCAGCAAGGCAAAAAACATCCCCAGGATTGTAGGTGGATTGGACAAATAACAGATTATGAACCCAAATGGGTTATTTTTAAATTATATGTTGATTCTGTTGTATTTAATTAAAATTTTTTTCCAAGGGGAAATAGTGAAAGGGAGGAAGGGGAGAATTTTTTTAAAAGGAAGAAGAAGTGGGTAAAATAAGAAAGAGCAAGGCAGAGGTTTGCCACATCTGCTAGCAGGGAAGGCCAGGGAGGGAGGGGATCAAAAAGAGTTCCAGCTTATTCAGCTCTGTCCTAAAGGACCAATTCAACTTAATTTGTAATAAAAACTGAATCACAGTAACTTTTAATTATGATTTGTTTTCATTTAATGGCTACTGAAAATTAAAAAATGAAAAACACTATCCTATGAGGACCCTGAAATACTTTTAGAGGAAGGGGGTTTTCATAGGTTAATATGAAACTGCACATTAAAAGCTTAAAATGAGCATATTCTTTGGTCATTAATTATACTTAGAATTTATCTCAACAAAAATGAATAAGGGCATGTACACTAATTTACTATTCATTACAGCCATATTAATAATATAAAAATAAGAAATATATTAAATGTGTATTAATGGAGGTTGCTAAATATATGAGCATGTATGATGGACTTCTATAAGGCTATTAAAGTTGATGGTATAGAAAAGCATTGGTGTTGACATGAAGAATTGTTCACTAGCTATTTCCAAGTGAAATAATCAAGAAATCAAAAGATTATCTTATTTTTACATAAATATTATATAATTGTATGTGTTTAAAGTATTCACCAAAGTGTTAAGCAGGTGCCATTCTGGGATTATGGGTGATTTTTAATCTCTTCTTTGATCAAATAGACTTCTTTCCAGAATATACTGGGTAATTAAATTATTTTAAATTGGAAACCACTATTCTATGATAGATGCTTCTTTGGGGGTGGGGGGGAGGAGATTGGTGAAGGGGGAGAGACCACAGAGAGACAGGCTTCTGTCACATCCATTTCTGAAAAGTCCCATCAGGGCCAAGTGTACAGCCTGCCTGGCTTGGACAAGGTTGGAAGGCAGAAAGAAAGGGCCTGACGTTTTTACCTGTCCTTAGTCTGTAGCACAGATGTGGCCACACCCATTGCTGACGCAGTGCTCCCCTAGGTCACAGTCCCAGTCACCGCTGCAGAGCTCAACGCAGGTGCCTACGTTAGACGAGACCAGCTAAATACATTATGCTTTAGGTACAGGGGCTAGAGAGGACAGCCCTTGTTTAAGGAGCCAGTTACATCTTTTGTTTCTTTTAGTTTAATACATAATGTAATTTAAATGATTACTTTCAGAATAACATTCATTAATATATATTTTATTTTTAAGTTTTTAAAAATATGTTATTGATTTCAGAGAGAGGAAGAGAGAGATAAAAACATCAATGATGAGAGAGAATCATCGATCAGTTGCCTCCTGCAACCCCCCCTCCCCCGCCCCAGGGGATTGAGCATACAACCCCGGGCATGTGCCCTGACCAGGAATCGAACCGGGACCTCCTTGTTCATAGGTCGATGCTCAACCACTGAGCAACACTGGCTGGGCAACATCTTATATATTTTAGTTAAAAATTATACATTCACATAATCCCAATAAAACAAGGACTATTTTAAAGATGTGTAAGAAGGGGACCTGGTGGGGTGTCTACAATGCACTTGCAGATTTCAGAGCAAATCAGTACTATCTTCCCATGTTTCTATTAGCTTTTGTTGATTTATGATGAGAGGGTTAAAAACGTCTTGTCCCTGCTCACGGAAGTTTGAACACTCATTATATCTGATTTCTTACTATGTACAAATCATAGAGCTAAGTCACTCAGGAAATACAAAGATGTAAGATGCAGCCTAGAGTCTAACAATGAAAATAAGACATGTTTCAAGCACTACCGACAAAGCACCTTGTGATAAATGTCCTGAGAAAAGTATATCCAAAGGACTAAAGGGGTTCCGAAGAGAGAAGACATTTATTTCCAATTAATCAGAAAACGGTGAGGAATTTTTAAAGGCAGAATTGAGAGGGGCAGTAGAGTGTTGTGAGAAGAGAAAATAATTACTAGCAAAAGTCCACAAAGGGAAAATGGAACAGGCAGGTAAGGTGCCGTGGGCACAATATTTAAGGACGCATTTGCACAACTCTGAGAATGAGTAGCTTCTTAAATGTTGTGTCCTAGGTGCCTCGTCTGCCTCCCTCTTCACCCTGAAATACAAGGAATACAGGAGGAATGGCAAGCAGAAGGTGGATAAGTATTAGAAAACTGCTGGAAGTTAAGCAGGAAAAGTAGGCTGGGGACAAAGTTACAGAGGATGGATCTTGAGTACCCGAGGAGTTTGGATTTCATTGGGCAAGCCAAGAGGGAAGCATGATTGCTATTTGCTTATGCAGGTTATTCTAGTGTCACAGCACAGAATGAACCAGGATTCAACAAGTAATTAAACTTCAGGAGGAAGAGGGGGGCAGGAAGAGCTGCTGAGAGGCTATGGCACAGGCTCAAGCATGGGGCAATCAGGGCTGGAAATATAGCGTGGCAATCGCGGGTGGAAAGGAAGGAACATATGCAAGAGACAATTTCAAAGAACGGGCAATAATTGGAAACCAGTTGCATGGAGGGGAAGTAGAGCAAAGAAGAGAGAGGGGTAAGAGTGGAATCTAATAGTCTTTGGGAAGCAGAAAGAAATAGTTTGCGAGTTGGTGGAGGGGGCAAAAATTTGCCAGATGCTGCAGAGGCGAAAGACTTTGGCTCCTGAAGAGAGTAAAGAGACTTGTCCACAGGATCCAGGAGAGAAGTTTCAGCAGTGATGGGGGCAGCAATGGAGACTCTAGTCAGGCTTCAAGGGGTTAAGGGATGGAGTATGGGTGGAGAATTAAGATTACTTCTTTGAGAATGTCGATGGTGAAAGGAAGAGACTGAGGTGATTAGTGTTCAACATAGTTAAGAACACACTTTCTCTAGACAATCCAATTTATTTGTAGCAAGAGACGAAGAAACTGGTAGAGAGAGAGAGAGATGCTGGGGAGGTGGAAGGTGGCTGATGCAGGGGTAGAGGAGGAGGAATGGAGGAGAGTCCAGGTGGAGGGGTGACCAGGGAAAGGAGGCGGAGAAAGTGGAGGCAGAAGAAAAGAGATTCTGCAGTCAAAGTGGGTCCCTGCAATGACTCCTTGACTAGAATATTTGTCCTTCTCTTGTTTCTCTACCCCCCGTCCCGCCCCACTCCCCACCCGCACACACTGGGCCATGATGTCCAACTTTCTGGCTCCCTCATTGAAGAAAACAGGGCTGCATTCTGCCTGGACTCACCCAACAGTTTCAAGGGTACCACCGAAGCCTGAAGCTCCTGTACCTCTGCGCTGAGGGTGATGATGGCCACAAGGAGAAGGAAGCCCACCAACTTCATGGTGCTGTTGGAAGCCTGTGGTACAAACGCAGCAGCAGAGCTGAGAACAGCTGAAAGGTATTCCCTTCTGCCCACTGAGCTGAAATGCAAGGCTAAGGGTGGGACTAAGGATTGTGGGAGCCTAAGCCCTGCCCTGACTGATAGTTCTTCAGAACACACGCCGTGTGCACCCTGGGTCATGCCAGATCGTTACCTAAGCAAGTCTCTGAGCCAACAGGACATCCTCCTCTGATAGACAAATAACACTCCTAAACCAGGAAAGACATGAGCGAGTGACTGAGAAAGGGGGTGGAAGGTGGGCACTAACTTTTATTATGTACTTGCATTCACAAATTCATTTTTTAACACAATTACCAAATGTCTTCTCTGGGCTGAGCACAGGCTAGGAATGAGGAATACATCCTTATGGAAATTACAACCTAGGAACTGGGTGCTAGCTAGTGAGGGTACAGTCCATTCTTCCCTGTCTCCTCTCTATGTTCTGAGCCCTCGAGCCTCTGAGATTGATGGCAGAGAGAGGCGGTAAAAGAGCAGGCAGGGGCGGTCCTAAGTCAGCTGCAAGTGGTAAGGAGGTGACCTTAGTCTCCTTCTGGTTCGGCCTGGTTCTCTCCACTGCTGGGTACCTAGGCAGGTGTGGTATCAATGCCCATTTGATACTTGTAATTTTCCTAGCATAGACTTCCACCTTATCTTGTCTATCTTTATTTCTGACAAACTCCCGATGTTAAACTCTTCCAGGATGTCTGTCATCAGGCAGCACTGGGGTGGACGGGGGTGGGGCTGCAGTATCCAATCAATCAGTTGGGGAGTGAGCTTTCACACACTCCCTTCTAATAGGCACTCCTAATCTAGATGAGTGATTTTCCGAAGCACACTTCATTTTGGGGGGAAAATACACCCCCTTTCCTTCCCAATGGCAGTGGGGATGGATGGGAGGCATGGATAACTTTTGGCCAAGAACACTGTGTCCCATAAAATGTCTTTTTAAAAAAATATATATATTTTATTGATTTTTTTTACAGAGAGGAAGGGAGAGGGATAGAAAGTTAGAAACATCAATCAGCTGCCTCCTGCACACCTCCTACTGGGGATGTGCCCGCAGCCAAGGTACATGCCCTTGACCGGAATCGAACCTGGGACCTTTCAGTCCGCAGGCCAATGTTCTATCCACTGAGACAAACCGGTTAGGGCCCATAAAATGTCTTAATGGGAGCCAAGGATGACTGGGCTGATTAGGAATGGCAGGACCAGTTTGCAGCCTCTGAATAAGGCCCTGAGGTGACAATTGAGAGAGCATTATGCTAAGTGAAATAAGCCAGTCAGAGAAAGATAAATATCACATGATCTCACTCATTTGTGGAATATAATGAACAACATAAACTGATAAACAAAAACAGATCCAGAGACAGAGAAGCATCCATCAGACCGTCAAACCTGAGAAAGGTGAGGGGAAGGGGGAGAGATCAACCAAAGGACACCAGCTGCCTCCTGCATGCCCCCCACTGGGGACCTAGCCTCCAGCCCAGGTACATGGCTTTGACTAGAATGAACCCAGGACCCTCCATTTCACAGACCGATGCTCTATCTCCTGAGCCAAACCAGCTAGGGCTTGACTTCTCTTTAGAATGTGGAGTACTTGATATTTCACCAGGGGACCTGGATCCAAATTCTGGGGCTGCAGGAAGAAACCCTTCCAATTATGCTTCATTTGTCCCAGTTTCTGAAATGCCACAAGTTGGAGGTCCTTTGGGCAAAATATTGACCTCATAAATTGCTAGTACCCTTAGGTGGGTTCAGGGGGACAGTCAGTCTTATGATGGGTGGTCAAGAGGTCACATAGGCTGTACATGGGAGAGGCAGCCAGCCCAGAGGTGATGAAGAGCTTTGGCTGACTGAAAAATGCCTACCAAATATATATAATTATTCATTTTTAAAAATACGGGTGGGCAGGGGAATCCCAAAGGGATCTGAGCAAACTTTCCTTTAAATCTTATGAACCCATTGCAGATGACGGTGTGGAAAGAGAAAAGACCCAGTCAATGTCATTCTGCTCCACGCTCCCTGTCCTGGTGTTAAATATGAAACATAGATAATCCATACGTGTCTTTCTATTGAGACTGTAACACCTGACCAGGAGAGCCCTGTCAGTGAATATCTTCCCTCTTTAGAAGAGAAGGTCAGCATGGTACAGGCCATGGAGCATTTACCTAAAAGCCAAACCGACACAGAGGAGAAGACTGGCTCCTCTACTCATTAAGAGTGTTGGTCTTGGCTGGTTTTGCTCAGTGGTTGAACATTGATCTATGAACCAGGAGATCATGGTTTGATTCCAGTAGGGGCATGCCCAGGTTGTGGGCTCAGTCCCCAGTGGGGGGCATGCGGGAGGCAGCCAATCAATGGTTCTCTCTCATCATTGATGTTTCTATCTCTCTCTCCCTCTCTACTCTTCTTTCTGAAACCAATAAAAACAATTTTTTTAAGAAAGGAGCGTAACATTGGGCAAGTCATTTAACTACTTGGACCCTCTGTCTCTTAATCTGTAAAATTTACAAACATTCTGCTACTGAGATGATATTATAGAGTTGTGGTGAGTGTAAAGTGAGATACTACATGTGAAAGGGCCTGTGCATGGTGAGTGTTAATTATCCTCCTCTAACCTATGGCTCGAAAATCTGGGTGACCACAGAGTCTGACCGTCTGCATGCCTACAGAGCCTGTGTAAATGTCAGGACTAACTAAAGGTCAGAAACATAAGTGGACGTTGTAGGATGCCATCCTCAAGTATCTTTGCAGAGGAAGGTCATACCTTGGCATTCAGAATTGTAGAGAGCGCCTGGGAAAGGCCCCTGAGCTGATTGTCATCTGAATCCAGTGGCGTCTGGCAGAGCCATGCCTGGAAACATACCTGGCCAGAGGCAGGTGTGTGGTCAGCCTGACCTTTAGCTCTGGCGCCAGGGGTGAGTTTCATTATCTAAGTTCAGCCAGGTGCCAAGAACAGACACAATTATTCAGGTCCAGCCAGAAGTGACCTTTATAAAGAAGCCACAAGAATGAAGAATTACAGCTTGATCTTTAACCATGTTTCACATAATTTCCTTTATCTAAACTTTAGTAAAACTTCCTGGTATCATACTATATAAAATAAACACGCTGCACCAGCTCTGGGTCACTATCTCTCCATCAGAGGGCCAGCTGTCCCACCTGGCCCCAGGTTTTCCTTTCTGTCTCTGTGTCTGTCTCTTTCTTTCATTTTCTCAATCCCCAGCCGCCCCTACTCAGGATTTGTGATTCGCTCTCTACCCATGTTGGACATGGTAAACGAGAGAATCTTTATACAGCATGGCAGATAGTTGAAATTGTTTGAGAATATATTATGGGTGAGCTCATGAGCCCCGAGTAATGACCAAGAGAGACAGAAGCATGGTGGGATTTGGGGTGTGGATGACCAGCCAGTAAAAGAAGGTATCAAAGCTAATATGCCCTCATTCCAATGCACAGGCTGGTGAGGCCATGGGCCGCCGGGGTTATAAGATGTGCTAGACGGCAGGGACAAGCAGGCATGGCATACCATGGCAGAGGCTACGGG